ACTCAGATACGACCACACAGCTTTCAGGAACTGCTTGGATAAATCAGTCTGCTCATAGATAAGTAAGGAAGGTCACTTCCTTTTGCTAATTGGGCCAACCTTTCAGATGGCTGGATTTGTTGTCAAAACCCCCTACCCATCCACGATGCTAGAGACCTCTGGTCCTCCCTGTGACCCATCTCTCTTCTATTTCCAACTACTCCCCACTCTGCCTTCGAAGTCACCTAAAGGAATCTGCCTTTCACGGCCAGAGCATCCGTGCCTCATGTTTACCTTTCTCCAATTATAACTGTACCTGCCCAATCAGACACAAATGCCCATGCAAATCACAGCACGTTCGCACCCCTGTGCTCTTATGATTACAAATCAGATGTGCCCACAATCGCCATCTCACCAATGGCGGCCATCCTTGCAAAGCCAAAGTTGTTCCTGATCATAGAATCGCCCTTGATCATCTTGTAGCTGGACAAGGTGTCCGCGCTGTGGCCAATGCCACATGCCCCACACTTCCGGGGAAGCTGAAACTCGGCGACATAAAGTGACCGAAGAGGCTACTTGGCTTACAAAAGCAATTCCTTCAACAGGGTCTTTCTCTGACTTGATTTTGATTGGTGTGGGTCTTGGGGACCATGGCTCCAAAGTGCACCCAGACAGTGGAAATGGTTCTGCTTATAATAAGCAGAGCTGGCTCCCTAGCACACTGTATGCCCTCAAAAGCTCCAGATGCACGTTCACGGCCACTAAGAACCCAGCCCACAAGCTCCCCAGGAATGGAGAGTCAGTTTCTAAGACTAAGGCAATGACCCACTAAGCAGCTGTGAGCCTGAAGTCATGACCTGTGCTTACCACAGAGCATCAACAAACACTGAGACCTTCAGGGACCAAGTGGGGAGGGGCGCCAGGGCTGTACATTTATCTTTTTTCTTTTTAAAAATATTTTATTTATTCATCTGACACAGAGAGAGAGAGAGAGAGAGAGTGCACAGGCAGGGAGAGCGGGAGAGGGAGAAGCAGGCTCCCTGCTGAGCAGAGACCTGACATGAGGCTCGATCCCAGGACCCTGGGATCATGACCTGAGCCTAAGGCAGAAGCTTCACCTACTGAGTTATCCAGGTAGCGTCCCGCCAGGGCCTTAAATTTTGATCTTGTCCTCAGAGGAGCAAAACGTTGGATTAAAAGTGGGAGAATTGTTTAAAAAAAAAAAAAATCACAAGGCCACAGAAGGAATCAGTTGTGTTCTGTCCCAGTCAGCAAACAGACCTAACACGCAACCCAACTTCGGGCTTGGCTGCTCCCAGGTCACCGGACCTTCAGTCCCTGAGTCTGAACTGTTCTGCACCAGCTGGTGGTGGGGGGACCCTGACATGGGAAGAGATCATTCAGTCCCAGGCCCCCACCAGCAGGGGGACTTCTTGACTCAGGAAAGGGACTTTCAGCCCCGGGGCCCCAACTTGCAGGGGACCCCTGATATGGGGAGGGGAACTTCAGCCTCGGGTCCCCCCAGTGAGGGACCCCTGATGCTGGGGAGGACCTTCAGCCCCAGGACCCCACCAGGGATGGGAACTCTCTGTCTCGGGAGGGATCCTTCAGCCCTGGCTCCCCACCAGCGAGGGGACCCCTAATGCAGGGAGGGATCCTTCAGCCCAGGTCCCTACCAGGGAGGCGAACCCCTGATATGAAGAGGGGACCTTCAGCCCCGGGTCCCTACCAAGGAGGGAACCCCTGATGCAGGGAGGGATCCTTCAGCCCTGGCTCCCCACTGGCACGGGGACCGCCTGATGGGGGGAGGGGGCCTTCAGCCCCGGGGTCCTCACCAGCAGGGAGGACTACCTGACCCAGGAAGGGGACCTGACTGGATCCCACCCAGTTCTCACTAGAAGCCCACACACCGCACCCCAGGCTCCGAGGCCACAGTGTGTGCCACTCTGAGCAACTCTGCTAGGTGGGATGCTGGAAGAAATTGTAGGGTTTTTTTTCTTTTTGGCAAAATAATAAATTATGTGAGATTGGCAGATAGTTGTTGCTGATATATTTTTCTCTCAATGTTTACAGAACTTTTCAAAATAGAAAAATTAAAAAAAAAAAAGAGTTTATTTGTGAAAGAGAGCACATAAGCGGGGTGAGGGAGAAGAACAGTGAGAGGCAGAGGGAGAAGCAGACTCCCCGCCAAGCAGGGAGCCTGATGCAGGGCTCAATCCCAGGTCCCTGAGATCATGACCTGAGCCGAAGGCAGACGCTTAACCTGAGCCACTCAGGCTGAAAAAAAAAAAAAAAAAAAAAAAAACAATTTTACACACCACACAATCACTGGGGTCCTTGAGGATCTGCACACATTTTTGGGGGCTAATTGGCTTTCAGTTTCGAGACCTGGTCCCCGCCTTAAAGATGGCCGACATTCCGTCTGCCACCTGAGGTGGCTGGAATTAAGGACGAGATTCCACTTCAGAGAAGGCAGGCCTTCTGTAAAGGGACCGATAAAGCCCCTGAAGCAGAAAGGCAAGGGCAGAGGGGAGTGGGGCTGAGCAGAGGGCCTCCGCTGGGAGGACCAAGAGCCCCTCCAGGTCCAGCATTCCTCCATGCTCACCAAGGGGAGGACTGCCCTGTAACAGCAGTACGTAGCTCTGAAGGAAGAACTCTCTTCTAGTAGTTTGCAGAACCTGAAGAGGGTGCCCAATGGCTCCTCGAAGGGATCCTGGAGTACCCGGGATCCCAGGGAGGTGATATCCTTCCTTGGTTCATGAGAAGTCCTGGCCAGCGGTCCCAGGTCCCGGAAGGCACCGCTGAGGTTGTTTTTCAAGGGTAGCTCTCCACTAAGACGGGCCCGCATGACCACACTGGAGTTGGTGACACGGGCTCCATAGTGACCAGCCCAGAACTGCGTGTCCTGGCCCCAGTGTTTGAAAGACACAAAGCGAACGCCGGTCTTGATGTTGGAGAACACGTGGGTGACCTGAAAGTAGACGCGGTTGTTCCCCTGCTGGACGGGATGGGGGGAAGAAGAGGATTCCATCCAGGACGTTCAGCCTGGCATCTAGAAAGCTGGACAAGGAGTTGGTACACACAACCACAGTCGTCTCGGGCTCCCCACCAGTCAGAGACACAGATCTCAATCTTGCTGCTATCTAGAAGCTCTGGCCACAAACCCTTCTCCACCAGGTCCAAGACCTGTTTTTTGCGACACCACTTGTAGGAAGACACGAAGCAGTTCTGCGAGGGGGCCCCGGGCACCTGTGTCAGGTTTACCTCCACCACCCAGCCCTCCCCACCGTGCTGCACCGTCCAACCCTGGAGGCCTTCCTGGCCGCAGGGATTGAGGATGAGGTTGCGCCCGAACGGTCGGAGCTCGCAGAAGCGGCTCAGGAGGACGCGCGGCTCAAGAGGACGGGCCGGAGGCATCTCAGGAGGCCAGGCCTGACGTCGAGGCGCGCCGGCAGGCAGCTGCGGACAAGCGGCAGCAGGGCGCCCTGCTCCCGGGCCAGGATGCGCATCCACAAGCCTGGCTGTCCAACAGGGCACGCCAGTCCCGGCACACCCGGCGGCAGGAGGTTCGCAGCGTGCGCGGGGGCACGTGGCTCAGCACCAGCAGAAGCAGCTCCGGGGAGAGCCGGCTCAGGTCCAGCACCTCCTCGGGTTCCGGCTCCCGCGCGGAGACCCGGGCGCGCCGGCGTCGGGAGGCCCCGGCGTCCATGGTCCACTCCAAGAGCAGGGGCGGCGGTGACCTGGATCAGAGCCCAGGCTCCTCGCCGGCGGCTCTCTCCTGTCCTAACAGTATCTTCCTCTTTGTAGTTTCAGCCCAAGCCTCTTTTGTAAAGGAGAAGTCGTGACTAATTTTGGAACAGAAAGCCCTCGCAGAAGAGGCTGTGGCCGCGACTGTCCCAGAGCGGCCGCGCGCTCGCGCCCTCCTGAGGTTCCGCTTCCCGCAGCAGCCGAGAAGCGCCGCCAGCCACCCGCACGCCCCACACCGCTCAGCGTTACAGCCAGCGGAGGGCAGCCTGCTTAGTCTAGAGACCGCCGCTGACGTCACGGGGCGCGGCCAGTGGGGCGGGGCCAGAACGTGGAGAGAACCAATGGGCTGGAGGGGCGGGGGCAGGCGGGGCGGGACCTTGGCGGCAGGACCAATGGGCCTGCGGGCTGGGGGCGGGGCGGGCGAGGAGACCCCCCCCCCCCACCCCGCGGCGCAGGACCAATGGGCTGGCGGGGCGGGGCGGGGCCACGGGGTTCCGCCCCGGCCTCCGTCTTCACACCGAGCTGCAGCGCGGCTGCCTCGGAGGAACCGGGCCGGAAGCGAGAGCCGGTGCGGGTCAGCCAGCTGCCGCCATGGGGAACCGCGTCGCGCGAGAAGACTTCGAGTGGGTCTACACGGACCAGCCCCACGCCAGCCGGCGCCAGGAGATCCTGGGTGAGGCCGGGCTCGCGCCCCGTTATGTGCGCGCGGCCTCCCGCCGCCGGGGCGCGCTCTCCGCGTCGGCCTGGCGCCCGGGCGCCCGCGGCCCGTTAAAGAGCCGGTGGGGGATAGCGGCGGGCCGGGTCCCGGGGGCCCCGGCGGGGAGGTCCGGGTGTTCCCGGCAGGGAGGGGGCGCTCGGGGAGGCGGGGGTCCCGGCGGGGGCGTCCAGGGGGCTTATGGCGGGCGGGGGGCTTCCCGGCGCGCCCAACCACGTCCTTGGCTCGGAGAGCCTCCGGCGCGGGCCCCGGGAGCGCGGGCGCCGGCGGGTGCGGGGCAGGGCGTGGTCCTGGGCCTGCGAGCCCCGCGCCGCCGCGCTCCCGGGGGCTGACGCCGGGGAGGGGCCGGGGGGCTGCGAGAGGGGGCACGCCTGGAGGCCGCGAGGACCCGCGCACGGAAGATCGGCCGAGCTTAACCGGCTGCTCCCGCACTGGGCATCCAGGACCCTTCGCCCTTGGCTCGCTAGGCCTCGGTGGGCCCTGCAAGTGGAGGGCGCGCTCAGCTGCCGGGAGCTGCTCCCAGGCCGCTCCTGACGCCGGGGCCGGGCACTGGTGAGTGGGTTACAGACACCACCCCGCTGGGCGCTCGCAGGAACTAGTCCCTGGTACCCCCACTCTAACGACGACGAGTAGGTAAAGAGTGAGGAGGGGTGCAGGGGTTCGGATCGAGGCAGATGCTCTCCATCTCTTCGAAAAAATCAGGAAGCCAACGGGTGCCAAGTCGAATAGGAGGAATGTTTTCTCACAAAGCCCCTACCTGGCTTTTCTTCTCAACATCCATTTGCCCAGTAAGCAGAGAAAGTCAGCCCAAATTTTGCTGGGGTGTCTAGAGTTAGGAATTTCATGCTTTTAGAAATCGGAGTTAGTAGGTCCAGTTAAATGGATTTTTAAAAAATGGAATCAGTAAATCGGTAGCTTGAATCTTTACAGTTGCTATTCAGGATAGCCTTTTAAGAGACTTCGGTTATTGGGTGTGTGCTTTCTTTTTATTTTTAATTAAAACGTATCGTTTGCATGATTACACAGGAGAGACAGCGTCCGATGCATTTGATCTATGCCTTAGACAATCAACACGCCTGGTAAGAACAGTGCGGTGTCCACCTTGAAAAAGACCCAGTGCCTCAGTACTGGAACTTAGCCCTGGATTTAATATTCAGATAATCAAGGAAGTGAAAAGGTGCCTATTGATGCTTATCTTGACAATGAGCCTTTTCCCATATACTTAACATCACTGAACCATTTCACTGGGAAAGTGAAAGGATGACAGATTCCTCAATAAAAATATAGCCCTTTTCCCTGCAGGTGCAAATACTGCTCAGTATCCCATTTCAGGAGTGGAGATGGAATAACCGCAGGAAAGATGAGAAGACTTAAATGATAAAGAGATTATTCTGGAGTTGGCTGGGTTTTGGCAGGGGAGAGAGAGCCATGAGAGAACGTGGATGTTTTTTAACAACTGACATCTGTATGCTAAATGTGTGTTTGGAGTTATATTTAAAGTTCATTTGAAAGGTGGCTCAGTCGGTTGAGCATCTGACTCTTGATTTCAGGTCAGGTTCAGGGACATAAGACCGACCCCCTCCTCCCTCCGCCCAAGCCGGGTTCCGGGCTGGTGTGAAGTCTGCTTAAGATTCTATGTCTCCCTCTCCCCGCCCCCCTCAAAGGAAAAAATAAATCAAAAAATAAAAGAAAAAAAAAATGACCTCCTTAATGAAGGCTAGGAACGAGACCGTTATTAGTGGGTCAAGTAATACAGCACAAGAAATGCTCCTTTTACTGCCCATCCATAGGGAAACCGTGTTTTTTAACAGCTTCATTAAGAGACAATGCACGAACTATAAAATTCATCCATTTAAAGCGTACAATTCAGTGTTCTTTAGTGTGTTCACACAGTTGTGTAACTACCAGTACAGTCTAAGTTTTAGAACATTTTTGTCTTCCCAGAAAGAAACCCCATACTCAAAAGCTGTTCCTGTGTTCCCCAGTCACACTCCTCAGCACTAGGCTACCACTAATCTACTTTCTGTCTCTGGAGATTTTACCTATTCTGGACTTTTTTTTTTTAAGATTTTATTTTATTTGAGAGAGAGAGCATGAGCAGGGAGACAGGCAGAGGCACAACCAGACACCTTGCTGCGTAGGGAGCACAGCATAGGGCTCCATCCCAAGACCCTGGGACCATGACCTGAGCAGAAGGCAGACGCTTAACTGACTGAGCCAACCAGGGGCCCCTATTCTGGACATTTCTTATAAATGAAGTTACACAGTCCTTGGTCTTTTGTGACTGGCTTCTTTCCCTTACCATTATGTTTTCAAGGTTCATCTATGTTGTACTAGGTCAGTATTTTATTCCTTTTATCCGCCAAGGAAAAGTCCACTGTATGGCTATTTCACATTTCATTTATTCATTCTTCAGTTGCTAGACTGTGGGGTTGTTTTCACCTTATGACTACTACGAGTAATGCTGCTGTGACCCCTTACGAGGAAGTTAGTAGATGGATGTGTTTTCATTCCCCTTGGATAGCTGCTGAGGAGTGGAATTGCTGGGCCGTTGGTAGCTCTGTGTTTAGCATTTTGAGGAACAGCCAGATTCTTCCAAACCAGCTGACCGTTTTACACTGTCACCAGCAACTTGTGTGGGTTCCGGTTTCTTCATATCCTGGTTACTGCCTGTCTTTGTCATTGTAACCATTTTAGCATGTGTGAACCGGCGTCTCATTTTGGTTTCAGTTTGCGTCTTCCTAACAACTGATAATGTCAAGCATTTCTCATGTGCTCATTGGTCATTTGTGATTTTGGTATAGTATCTAAGAAATCACGAAGGTTATGGAGATTTACTTCTGTTTTCTTACGAGAGTGTTACAGTTTTCTTGTATTGAGGTCTGTGATCTGTAACTCAAGTTACTTTTTGTGTATGGTGTGAGGAAGGGGTCCATCTTCATCCTTTTGGATGTTCATAACCAGCACCATTTGTTGCAAAAACTCTTCTTTCCCTATTTAATTATAGCGGTACCCTTGTATTGATTTTTATGTACTAAAATAAGCTTTGCCAATATTTGGTACGGAATTACTTGGAGCAACTTGATTTGTCTGAGAATGAGGCATGTGAATTTCATCATTTTAGACTTATCTAAAATGTGTATTGCCTTCTGTCCTATGTCAGATGTGTCAGTTTAACCAAGTTTTAAATAAGGTAAAGATGCTGGAGCAGAAACACATAATACTACTTACTGAATGAATTCTTCAAGGAATTCTTTCTTATCCACCATTTAACTGAACAATTGTTATTCTATTGTTGGAGAATTGCTCCCCAAATGCTCATATTTTACTGAATGACATGGTAGGAAAATTAGTTTTAGACAAATTCACTTTTAGGCCTGTAGGGTTACTTTTTTTTTGTCTCTTGCCTCCAGAATTATTCATAGTTGATAAAATGGACTAAACCAATGAAGATTAGAGTTTAGGGAGCAGAGAGAGAAAATGGGGAGTTATCCACTTGGGTTAGTTCTACCCTCATGTCATATAAAACTGACTTCAGTAGTCTGCTTTGCAGTATAAGCTCTCGTTGAATTCCTTGTTTCACATGTAGAGGAATGAGGATGAAGCTGCTCCTTTCCCTTCTTTATCTGAATGACCGGGCTCAAGAAGAAGGTCCTTTCACCTCATGCTGTCCTGTGTCATACCTACTCAGCAACACATAAAACCAAAGACCCTGGGGCTCCCTCTTGTTGTGGGAGGAGGGGGTGGGTAAGATCCAGAGAGGAGTGTGCATTTGCCCTTAGAGGACACTTGCCTAAAATGCAGAGATTCTGTTATTGGCCTTTTTGGTCATATTTGGATATTTGCATGTAGCTTCAACAGTGCAAATAAGAATCTGACAAATTAGCACCGTGCAGTTCTCACACATTATCCTGATTTCCTGATGCCTGTCAGGAGGCCACACAGGCAAAAATCTTAGCTATCTGAATGTCTAAAAATAGGGAAGTGGGTAGAAGTTACAACTGGCAACTAGAAGTGATTCCATCATTATAAAGGAAATTATAAGATCTAAGTATGTGTCTTTTACAACAAATATATATCGTATGTAAGTACATTGCATATACATGATACATAAGTATATACATATGTTGTACCTTCTGTCAGACACTGGAATAGATTTATCAGACTATGATCGCAACTTTGCAAAACTTACCAATTTTATATACAAAGAACTGTTAGGGGTGAAAAGGGAATTGGGTGCCATGAAATCTTTACTCATTTGTGATTTTCTTTCTGTTCCATGTGGAGTCTAGATTTTGAGGCTCATTTTTCCTGCACAGATTTGTTGTGATGTGGTATTTGGTAACTTTACTATTGGAATATACTCCTCCCTGTAGTGGATAAAGCCTCTAGTGGAGGGCATATCATGATTGGGAAAAAGGAAAAAATTAATTAATGCATTAATTTAATGGGTATTGATTTAATCATAATTGCAGAACCAGTGTGTGCTCTTCTCAGTTCCTGGTTTGTTTGTTTTTCTTTACAGCAAAGTATCCAGAGATAAAGTCCCTGATGAAACCCGATCCCAACTTGATCTGGATTATAACCATGATGGTTCTCACCCAGCTGGTTGCATTCTACTTAGTGAAGGACCTGGACTGGAAGTGGGTCATATTTTGGGCGTATGCCTTCGGCAGCTGCATTAACCACTCCGTGACTCTGGCTATTCATGAGGTCTCCCACAATAGTGCCTTTGGCCACTACAGAGCTATGTGGAATCGCTGGTTTGGCATATTTGCCAATCTTCCCATTGGCGTTCCCTACTCAATCTCCTTTAAGAGGTATCACATGGACCATCATCGTTACCTTGGGGGGGATGGCATCGATGTGGATATTCCCACCGATTTTGAAGGCTGGTTTTTCTGCACCACTTTCAGAAAGTTTATATGGGTGGTCCTTCAGCCTCTCTTTTATGCTTTTCGACCTCTGTTCATCAACCCCAAACCCATTTCTTACCTGGAAATTATTAATACGGTGATCCAGGTCACTTTTGACATTATAATTTACTACGTTTTGGGAGTTAAATCTTTGGTCTACATGTTGGCAGCATCCTTGCTGGGGCTAGGTTTACACCCGATTTCTGGACATTTCATAGCTGAACATTACATGTTCCTCAAGGGACATGAAACCTACTCGTATTATGGGCCTCTGAATTTGCTCACCTTCAATGTGGGTTACCATAACGAGCACCATGACTTCCCCAACATTCCTGGAAAAAGCCTTCCACTGGTAAGTAAAGAGATTTGACACAAACTCTTAATTTCTGGGGGTTTTATGGCCAACATCAGTCTCAGCTTTCCCATTTTAAAAGGAATCTAGTAGGGACACGTGGATGGCTCAGTCAGTTACACGTCTGCCTTTGGCTCAGGTCATGATCCCCTGGGTCCTGGGGTCGAGCCCCACCCCTCCCCCCCTCAGGCTCCCTGCCCAGCAAGGAGCCTGTTTCTCCCTCACTCTCAAATAAATAAAACCTTAAAAAATAATAAAACAAAAGGGTTCTGGTGTATTTTGCCTATCTAAACTCATCAAAGCAAACGACAGGTGTGCATCCTTTGTGTGCCCTCCTTAGAGTCATCCACATTCCCTCTGAGTCCCAAAGCCTAGCAGTGGCCCTTGGGTCCGGAGTGCTGGAGGATCTGCCGACTTATAAACTATGTCAGAGATTGAGAAAGGAGTTCTGTGCAAAGTGAGCTCAAGTTCACCTTGCTTTCATCGCTGTTACATTGATTGGCTAAGATTTATGTGTTGGCTTGTTGGGAAATGCAGACATCCCACGCAGTTGGCCCGTGCATTAAAAAACAGTTTTCAGGGTGGCAAACTTTTTGCAGGCAAGGCCTGCCTGTTCCCCACGTGGCAGTGTATTGTTTGTGGAGGACGTGAAAGAACACAGCTTGAGCCCCCATCCCTCCGTCCTCTGCAAAGGCCCACCTTTGTAACTTCGCTTATCTTTTTGGTGAATTCTTTTATTAGAGTTCCCTTCCTCAGAATCAGTGGCTTTTATAGTTTATTACCAAAAAGTGTTTCCATAATTCTAAAAAGGGGAATATGTATGAGATGTAATACTAGTTTTTTTTTAATTTTTTAAGCTCTGATATAAGGGAGTTAACTTTTTTTTTTTTTAGATTTTATTTATTTATTTGACAGTGCAAATGAGCACAAGCGGGGGTGGGTGGAGGGAGGGATAAAGGGAGGGAGAAGCAGACTCCCCACTGAGCATGGAGCCCAATGTGGGACTCGATCTGAGGACCTTGGGATCATGACCCGAGCTGAAGGCAGATGGTTAACGACCGAGCCATCCCAGGTGCCCCATGGGAGCTATTGCCAAATATTTTATGCCATCATATCTACCCAATTGAATTTAATGGATTTCCTCATAAGATTTTAACTATTGACGTGATTACAAACAAATGAGAACTAAGTGTGACGTCTGATTACGAGTGGATTCCCACTCGAGGAGAAGAAAGGTCTAGAGAGGACATTGGATCAGTGGGGAAGCTTTACATCTATAGTGTATCACAGAGAATATTGTATTGCTGTTAACTTTCTTGGGTGTGAAAATAGCATGGTGGCTTTGTAGGAGAACGTCTTTGTTCTTAGGAGGTCCGTGTTGAGTATTGGGCTGGCATGTTAGGGTGAGATGTCACATGTCTGCGGCTTGCTCTCCAAAGGCTCAGCAGAGAGAGCATATTAGATGGTGTATGTCCATGCAGAGACAGGAAGCGACTTACGGTGGTGGTGGGCCTGGGTGAAGGGCATAGAGGTGTCTGTTCTGCTCAACTTTTCTGCAGGTGTCACATTTTTCAAAATAAAATGTTTGGGGAAAAACCATGCGACTGGAGCCAAGTTTGAAAGCAGGTGTGATGTGTCTCGTGTTGCCTGACCTGTGCACACGCCTGACGGCAGGGCAGGCCTCGTTCGCCTCTTTACTAAAGAAGTGAATTTCCCCTTACTTTCAAAGAGGGTACAAAGCTGGTTGCCCTTTAAACAAAATCAACATTAACCACAGAGTTGATCCTTGAACAACACAAGGAGCAGGGGCACCAAGTCCCCACAGGGTTGAAAATCCACATGTGACTTTTGATGCCCCCGAAACATAACTACTAGCCCACTGTTGACTGCAAGCTGAACCCTGATGTAAGCAGTCGGTTAACACGTATTTTGTACGTTATACGTGTCATATACAGTGTTCTTGCGATGAGGTAAGCTCGAGAAGAGAAAGTATTAAGAAAATTGCAAAGAAGAGAAGACACGTTTACAGGACTGCACTGTGTTTAGTGAAAACACGTCTGTGTATACGTGGACCCATGTGGCTCAGACTGTGTGGTTCAAGGGTCAACTGTACCTTAACTTATGGGTTTCTTTCTTTTTTATTTTTTTAATCTTCTTTTAAAAGATTTTATTTATTTATTTGAGAGAGAGACCGCAGGGGGAGGGGCAGGGGGAGCCCAATGCGGGGCTCGATCTCGGGACCCCGGGATCACAACCTGAGCTGAAGGCAGACCCTTCACGGACTGAACCACCCAGGTGCCCCCATCTTACTAGGTTTCTTGAACATTCCCCAACCCGAGAATTTCCTTGCTTCAGACATCACTTGCCGCAAGTCCCATGGTGAGCAGTGTCTGTTCCCTTCCTGCCTGCTGCCTGCTATCACAGTCCTGAGCTGCTGTGACAGGTGTCCTCAGAGCTCTGGTCTTCCCTTAGTGGCTCTTCCTGTCAGGTGTGCATCAGGGAGCATTCTGTGCTGTGTCCTCAGCAAATCACTGCTATTTCTTGGATCCTTATATTACGGTGGTTACAGTGCACGATGTTAACAGGTGTGTGTGACAAGGTTTCTTGTAACAGCTTTAGTAAGATATAACTTACATCTGTAGCTCAGCTATTTAAAATGCACTATTCGGGGCCACGCGGGCAGCTTAGTCAGTGAAGTGTCTACCTTCAGCCCAGGTCATGATCTCAGGGTCCTGGGATTGAGCCCTACATCGGGCTCCCTGCTCAGCAGGGAGCCTGCTTCTCCCTCTGCCTCTGCTGCTTGCTCGCTCTCTCAAATAAATTAATTAATTAAATCTTTAAAAAAAATAATAAAATCAGACGCGCCGTTCAGAGCTTGATGGGACAGTCTGTGATCCTAGAGGGTCGAGTATATGTCACTGTCGAACTGCTCTGTGCTGGAGTCCGGCCGCAGCTCTTACATATGAGCATTTGGGGAGGGAGGTGGCCAGAGGGTGGTTCCTCTTCTTGGTGCTTGTGTCCGGCGTTGGCCGTCAAGTCCGGTCTAGCCGGACTCCGCCAGCACTCCCTTTTGCTTGTCTGCCCTCGCAGGTGAGGAAGATCGCCGCTGAGTACTACGACAACCTGCCCCACTACAACTCGTGGATTAGAGTCCTGTATGACTTCGTGACGGATGACACCATAAGTCCCTACTCGAGAATGAAGCGGCATCAGAAAGGCAAGGTGGTCCTGGAGTGAAGGTCCTTTGAACTCAAGGAATTCTCTGTGGAGCTTCATGAGGGCTGCAAAGTGGGCTTTCTGCGCTATTAATCGAAGCCCGGCGAGGCGGAGAGGCTCCTCGTGTGGGTCCCAAGCGTGAGCCCCGCGGTCCCCGGAGCTTCCCCGGCTTCCCACCGTCAGCCTGTCCAGCCCGCGCTCAGCTTTGCTCCCACGGAGCGTGTGTGTCACATCATCATTGTTGAGGACAGTTTCCCTGATGCCTGACATTTTGTAAGCGTATCGTAAAGAAGCTTTAAAAAAAGCTATTTCTAGTACATTATTTTCACTATAAAGTTGTACTTTATTAAAACAGCTAATAAACTGAGCTATTAATCACAGTAGTATTTATCACATTTTCATACTTTACTGTCTTTATATAATACAGTACTGGGGTGAGTTTACTTTAAAATGCCGCCACCCCCTCTAAAATCTGGAAAGATCTTTCCCTATAAGCTGAATTTTTAACTTTTACTATTGTAAGTGGAACTGAGACGATACACTCCTGAATCCTGCAGAGCCTCATAAATAAATAAAGGACTTATTGAGATCGATCACATCCAACACTGAACTTCCTTTTCCAGACGCAGCGACTCTCAGATTAGAAGTTGCTCCCCCTGTATTGCAGCAGGATGGGGGTGCGGTCTGACAGCAGACAGCTGGCTTCACAGGGCCAGTACCCCGGGCCGAACTGTGTCACTGGGGTAAACAGAGTGTGACGTGGTGAAGTGTTCTATTTTTTCATCTTCATTTTTTTTTTTTTTTTTTTTTTTTAATTAGAAGGAGAGAGAGAATGTCACGCAGCCTCCACACCCAGCAGGGAACTCAACTAGGGGGGAGCTCTCGTGACCCTAAGTTCATGACCTGAGCCAAAATCGAGTCGGTCACCCTAACCGACTGAGTCACCCAGGCACCCCATGGTGAAGTATTTTAAAAATAATAACGTGGTATTCATCAGGCTCTCTGCTTCTCCCTCTCCCTCTGCTGCTCCCCCTGATGGTGCTCTCTGTCAAATAAATAAATAAAACATTTTTTTTAAAAGGAAGCCTGGGTGGCTCAGTTGGTCAAGCTAAGCCTTTGGCTTAGGTTGTGATCCCGGGGTCCTGGGATCGAGTTCCGAGTCACGCTCTCTGCTCCTCAGGGAGCCTGCTTCTCCCTTTCCCTATGCTGCTCCTCCCACTTGTGCTCTCTGTCAAATAAATAAAATATTAAAAAAATAAAATGTATCAGAAAAATCAAGTAGTCTGCAATTTGTACAGAACAGCAATCCTCAAGCACCCTTTTTTTAAAATAAAGATTTTACTTATTTATTTGCCAGCAAGCAAGAGAGAGAAGGAGCAGGAAGAGCATCAGGCAGAGAGAGAGGGAGAGGGAGAAGCCAACTGCCCGCTGAGCAGGGAGCCCGATGTGGGACTTGATCCCAGGACCCTGGGATCATGACCTGAGCCGAAGGCAGATGCTTGACCGACTGAGCCACCCAGGCGTCCTTCTGAGATGTTTCAAAGTCTGATTCCTGTAATAATCACCAGCTGCACTGTATCCTCGCTCTCAGAAGGCTAGGCAAACCTGCTCTACAGACCTCATTTCATCCCCAGAGTACTTTGCTTTTCCTTCCTGGCCTTCTCACCTGGGAAAATTCCTAGGATCAAAACTATTGCTTCAAGAACCATTGAGTTCACGGTTGAGAGTGATAATAGCACCAACTCTACAAACACCCTCGCTCAGTGAAACAGCATCTGGGAAATGCACCCATCGCTGTGATGCATTAAGTCGACTATGTTCTCTGGCAGGCAGGCCTCCCACTCTCCCGGCCTGCAGAACTCGAGCCACTGGTTTCACTCGGCTCCCCATCCGGCTCGGCCTTCTCTGAGCCCAGTTACCGTGGGGCCACGGTGCGCACACTGTCCTCCTTCCCCAGACCTGCTGTCAGCTGTCACGTTACCAGTTCTCATTCGGGTGGCAGGTCTCCTGACCAGTCCAGTGCCCAGCTGCCCATTTAGCCCATCATTTCTGTCCCTGGCAGTGACTTTTCCAAAGACAGATCTAGGACTCTTAGGGGGCGGTAGGAAGGCTGATCCTAGCGCCTCTAGAGCACCAGGGTTGGGCATGAGAAATCCTGTGGCTTTGCACAACTCTCCTCTGCCTACATCTTTTCCTCCTGGTCTGCTTCGCTCATCTTCGGAGCTCATGCCAGGCCTCTGCAGCCCTTTCCCACTCCCTGGCAGGTCAGCCGCCACTCTTTTGGACTCTCCAGAAGATTCTGTGGCCCCACAGACTGTTTAGAAATGTGCAGATTGTTTCCCCATGAGGCAGTCACTCCTGAAGGGCAGGAAGATCTTTACTTCTGTTTGCCAAACCTCGCAGGGTCAACAAGGGGGGAATAAAAGGAGAGCCACGTGCAGAACAGAGCAGAAGCTGGAGGGGAGGTGGCTGACCTTGGAGGGGGGTGTACTGTGAACAGTGGACATTTGCCGAGATTCCCTGACCTCTGCTGGGCCTGCACTAGCTTACCGACCCTTCCCGTTGGATAGAGCACTGTTCCTATCCTCATCGTGGACAGGAGAAGACAGGCTCAGCGGGATGGAGTCAAGGAGCCCGAGGCCACACTGAGTGAGCTGCAGCTCCCACCATGGGACTCGAGAGCCAGAAGCGTCGGAGCCCGGCGTGGACGGGCATGGGAAAGAACATGTTCCCTCTGCTGTCAGCCACCCTCCTCCGGTGATCCTGCGGGTCAGGCTGCATCTCGGGGGTCTGACTTCTAACAAAGTCAAAGTCTTTTTTTTTTTAGAATTTGGCTTTTTACAGAACACGTTACAAAAGAGGTTTAGTGAAAACGACCGAAGTCCACAGCCTCCTCGGCCTCCTGAGATTCTTCTGTGTGCCCGCATCCTCTTCGGGGGCGCCAGTGTGGAGGGGGCAGGGCCACCGGCCCCCCCCGCTGCCGAGGCAGGTGAGGATCCCGATGTTGACATTGGCCAACAAGCCCGGCCAGGAAGGCTCAGTATTTACACCGGCCGCCTACACGAGGGCATTGCTGTCACCTACGTGACTGTGCCCAGCCCATCACGGTGTGCAGCACGAGGCCCCAGCCCCTGAGCAGAAGCTGAGCAGAAGGCCCATCTAAACTTTGCTGTGGGACATTAACAGGTAAATTCATAGCAAAAGCGCATTTCCTATTCACTCCCCGGGCATGTGGCCAGCGTTGCATCAGGCAGTGAGGATGGGGCCCCAAAGAAAGAGCCAATGCTCCAGCCCTGGGATTGCGTGTGGAATCCGAAATCAGTGTCTGAAACAGGGTAGCCCGCGTGGCCGTGGCTGGGGCGAGGGGACTCAGGGCAGCCACCAATGCCACACCCACCCTGCAGGTCACCCGTCGTGTGTACCCTGTGCGGGGCTGGCCAGGGAGGGACCCTGTGCGCCGGCTCAGGAAGAAACGGCCAGAGAGACGCGTGCCCGCCCCTCCACCTGCCCGGCTGACTTGGAGACTCCATGTTCAGACAAAGAAATGTGTCGCTTCTTGTCTGGCTGGGAAAGTCTTCCAGGAGCTAAGCTGAGTCATGTGGAATGAAGCAGGGAAGCGAGGATGGGCCGGCAAGCCCTGAACACCCCTCAGAAACCCCAGGACAGAAGCAAAGACCCTCTCGGAGGCCAGTGGGGAGGGGGGAGGGGGAGGGCAGCGCACCCCACGGGGCCGAGGCTCCGGTTGAGGAGGGCACAGTGCCTGAGGGCCGCCCTGACAGGGAGAAGGGGCAGGATGTGCGGGGCAGGGCAGGCTGGCACGCTTCCTGGGAAGTTAATGACAGGGCTGAGGGAAGAGGAGGATGGGCGCGGCGTCTGACAAAAACGGGCTCTGTGCTTGCCAAGCCCGCTCTGGAGGAGCTGATGACCCAGCGGAGGGAAGCTTCCCGACGCCCACATGTAAAAGCAACAGTGCTATTGGGCAAGTGGCCACGAGCACAGGCTGGCGTGATTCGGTGCACAAGACCCAGAGCAAGAGGTGGGACCCCTGCCTGAACTGCTGGGCGCCTTCCTGGATCTGGGGCACAAGCCTGGCCTTTTCTCCTCAGGGTAGGACCTGCACAAACACCAACGGTGTGTTCACAGTTTCCTTGTGTCGGAAACCCTCTGTGGGAAAGGCCTAGAAGAACTGCATGGCCCTCGGTGCTGGGTTCTAAATCCCCCTAGATCAGCACTGTGCGAATCCAGGGAGGGCTCTGTGGTCTCCCTCCCACGGCGGCTGGAACAGGCCGTCAGGAAGGCCTGAAGGAGACCCAGGGGAACGAACCATCTGTCACAGAGGGAACAGGACAGTCTTGCGTCGGGTTAGTGGCTGAGGCCCCACATTTCCCTCCCAGGTAGCAGCTGAGAGATTTGGGCGCAAGGGGGTGTCTCCCCTCCCAGCCTGACAGGTGCTATGTGCTTCCACGGGATGGGCCCGAACAAAACCCAAATATCCATGATCCCTTGGATCCGGGGGTACTGGGCAGCCTCACATATCCTTCTGTTGACGGAGCAGAGAAGCAGGATCACGCACTAGGAAAATCTCTGCCCTCTTGGAATGCAACCATCATTGTCCTTTTAGCTCAATGTCAAGTACGTGATCTTTTATCCTCGGTTAATGGAGGAGGATGAGAGCCAAAGTTCAGCACCCTGCATCAGGTTGGCCGGCCAGCGTATTCTCCGAGGCATGTTCCCAGCTCCGGTCCTCCTGCCCCTACCCTCCTGCCCCGACCCTGTTCCCCGGGCAGATGGAGGGCGCTGGGCCATCCAGCCTGGAACCCTGGGTCTGGCCAGGAGGATGTTCTTCCTGGGCCGAGGGCTGAGGGCCGAGGGCCCGGTCCCACCCTCTCGCCAGGCTTCCCACCTCCTTCCAGGGAGACAGCTCAGACTCCTGGCTGCGCTTCTCCAGGAAGTCAGTGGCATTGCTCCAGACCCTGGCGGGCCTGGCTCTGTGCAAGCTTGCTGAGCACATGAACGTGAGCAGGTGTAGGGCGGTCTTCACCGCCTCACAGAACCACATGTTGCGAGGCAAACTACTTTTCTGAGTAAAGGTCACTGGGGGCCCAGGTGCTGCTAATTCCCAGGGAATCCTGCTTGGGGATGGGGGTGGGAGGCCGGGCAGTGACTGCCCCCCCCACGTGCGGTCAGTCCTCACACTGGCATCGTTCTCATTTTCCAATCAACAAAACAAATTCAAAGTCCGTGACATTTTTCTTTAATTTGGAGCCCTCTCCCTAATGAGTCTGACACCTGCAGTTTCCAAGGACAGAATAGGCGGGCCACTCTCGGGAGCGCACGGGCTGGGCGGGAGTGGCCTGAGAAGTCCCCCACGCGTTCTCCGAGGAGTGTTCCTGCGGCCGGCAGGGCACATCTCATCAGTTTTCAGAGCAGGCTCCGAAGCACACAGCTTTCCGAGCAACGCCGCTCTGCAGGGGACGTCACACAGCCAATCTGGGAAAAGCCGACAGGACCTGGGCCCAGATTGCAAAACAAGAAAGGTGGGCGGACACGGGGATGCAGGGACACGAGACCCCCAGTCCCCTTGACCCGGTTTATAAG